AGAGAGAGAGAGAGAGAGAGAGAGAGAGGATAGTTGACATTTGACAATATCATCAAAAAGCTTTTATTACTTGATAAAAATCATGCCAGTCTTCTTAATGTAACATAATAGAATACTTTTACTTGTAATGGATAAAGATGAAACTTATCATTTGAAAGTAATAAAATCAGAGGCATTTCCAAGCATTATTCTTCTTTAATATTCTTTGTTTTGCAACATATTGGTAACTTATTAGATATCAATAGATTATAAAAAAACACCTGATTAAAAATCCGAAAGAAATGATACCATACGTAAGAAGTTTTCATAATAAACATCATAAAAAAAAAAAACACTAATCGTTAAGAAAATGTGCAAAACATATTAATAAATAAGAGAAATAAGAAGCATTAAAAGAACTCAACTAAATTTCCAAGCCTTCAATAAATTCTTAGTTCACAAGAAATGTGCAATTAATCCAAAACATTATCAAAAAGTTCCTGATTTATTTATTGGTATATTAAAAAAGCACCAGATTACAGTCAAAATATGAAATGAAGAGTTTTCTGGTGTGTACCTAGGAGGCCATGGTTCTTTGGAGCTGATTTTGGGGTGGGTTTTTGGTGATCTCTCAAGGGGAGATAGGGGAGGATAACATTGGAGTGGAGAATAAAAGCCCAAGAGGTTGGACTACAACTGCATGGGGTGAGGAGAGAGATTGGACTGGTTAGAGAGAGAGTGTGTGTTTGTTTTAGCCTTGTAGGGATGCTACCAAGGTTTAAAAAAATGTTGAGTCGAGCCGGACTCGCCCGGTTCGACTTGGGAATCGCCACAGAACGAGCCGGTTCCACACATAAAACGGGAACCGCCCGTGTCTAGAGAAAACCGAACGGTTTTAAACGATTTTAAACAGTAAACCGCCTGATGACATCATCAACCGGCGGTTTTGATGTCACCACTCCGATTCTACACAGATACGTGCAGACGTCACCACTCCGACACGGACACGTGCGACAAAATCACGTGTCACATATCACGTGCGAGGTTGCCCGAATGTTTTCGCGCACATGCGTAGCAAAGTTGAATACCTATCTTTCGATGTCGGATAATTCTCAAACATCATTAAATGAAAACGGAATGTAAATATATTCTATTAATCAACAACTTATAATCACATGCAGCGAGGCGGCGTGATGGTTATGACCTCTGCTATTTCCTTTGATGTCCCAAGGTCGAATCCCCTTGGGCGTTACATTTTTGTTGTATAGTAGTTTTTGTTTTATATAGTGGTATAATTATTTTTGTAAATAATATAAAAAGCATAAAAAAATGAAAAATAAAAAAGTTAATTTTTTGTATAGCAGTTAATTTTTGTTGTATATAGTGGTATAATTATTTTTGTAAATAATATGAAAAACATAAAAAAATAAAAAATAAAATCATGTAATGTACGCATTTTATTAATTTTTACATTGATAACCAAATCTTTTATTTTATTTATTAATTTTTACATTGATAACCAAACCTTTTATTTTATTTATTAATTTTTACATTATAAATCATGTAATGTACTATTTTTCTTACAGTTGTCAATAATACATTTTCAATTAGATAATATTATAAAATATTTTTAATTTATTATTATTTGTTTAATAAAATAATTATAAAATGTAAACTAATAATTATAATTTCAATATATAATATTATAATTAGTTAGGTTGTAATAATTTTGGATTATAGTTACTAAAGCTGTAATAATTTGGGTTTATTTAGCGGATTAGGATTTTTTGCCAAAACGAGATTTTAATGCCATTCTTTCATTGATTTAGTCTACTCTTTATAATAGTCCATGTATAATTATATATTTTAGCCATTATAATTCTATGATTTTTCTTTTATGTGATGAAAATTTAATTGTTAACATAAGTTTATACAAGAAAAGAGCATCTCAATATTCACAAATTGATGAAAAAAATGAAAGTTAATAATGTAGTACCCTCATTTCTTATTAGATTCCTAAAAGATAATATTGATAACGAATTTTAATATTTTTTGAAATTTTTTTAAAGCTTAATCCAACCGATTCCCGATCCGGATCGCCGATTCGCCGATCCGGATGGATTTTTGAGATGCCCAATCCAAGTTACCGATCCGCTTTTTAAACCACCGGATGTTACCTTGTTATTGGAGAGATATCGGGATTGGTGTGTATGAGAGAGAGTGTGTGTAGAGAGAGAGAGAAAATAGCGAGAGACACCAAGGGGTATTTGATTTGAGAGATATTGGGGAGAGAGAAAGAATTGATTAGATTAGAGGGGAGAGAGAGTTTTCTGGTGTGTACCTATTCTGGCGAGCCGATTCACCCACTTTGGGGTCTTGTTCCCAGTCAACTTGAAACAGATATCCTTGCAGAAATGGTTACAGTTCTTGACAATAAGATGATATGTGTCTCCTGTGTAGCTTGCTGCCTGCCTTTCCATGAATTCCCTCACTTGAACAGGGTCCAGACGAGTGGTGCCCATAAATATGGACTTTCTGAACTTAAAACCTGGACATTGGCGAGGCTCCACCTCAAATACCCCACTTGTCGGATAGTCATGAGCTCCAAATGCATACTCCACACCATGAACTGGTCCACAATTATTAAAAGCCAAGTTATGAGTTTTGAAGAGTACCATATTTTCAGAAAGCATGTACACTGACACTGTGGTGTATTATACACCACAGGAACATCCACCACGTATTCCTTAGGACAGTACAGATGAACTGTAACCCAATGTCAGCGATCAAACCCACAGTTCATGTCCCCTCTCTTTCCTAATCCCCATTTTGTGTACCATGTATAAACCCATGTATAAAACACATTTGTGGTATGCTTTCCCTCGTATGGTTGCAGCTAGAGAAAATGTAAATATGCTTCCAAGCATTAACATGACTACGTGACAATAAATATTCTTTTTATGCCATTACCATGGCCCATAAAAATAAGGTGTCTACCACTTGTATTACTTTGAAGCACAAGACAACAGTATTTTCTTCTCGAAAGGAAACCATAATTTTTTCTTCCAAAAGGAAATCCCATAACTCAATTGATCCATCAAATTCTTTTTTTAACTCCATGTTTTTTTGCAGCTTGAATTTATCATTTTCCAATTTACATCCCCAAGGGCCTTTTTGGGTCCTCAGAAATTACCTTTCAGGATAGTTTCCTGGAATGAGGTCTCTCCAATTATTTCCAATGATGGACGCCAAAATTGGGGAGAAATGTCCCCATCATCCCCGGTTTGACCTTATTTTGGAGAAAAAGGTCATCCAACTAAATAGGTGGAAAATGTATTATCTGAATATAAACCTTCTTCCCCCAATCATCTCTCTCTCGTATTCTTGAAGCCAAACGCCTCCCTCCCTCCCCAATCATCTCTTTCTCCTATTCGTGAAGCCAAAGGCCTCCCTCCCTCCCTCGATTGACCACATCACACCACTAAACTTCTATAAAAGAGAAGGTTTTGATTGAGTACATCACACCACTAAACTTCTATATAGGAGAAGGTCCTCCAGGAGTGAACTATAAGCTCATAAATCATAGCCACCCCCTAAACCTTATGTGTGATCAATGTTTTTTGAGGAAAAAAAAAACCAGAAATTATGTGTGATCAATGTTAACTTTGTCATTCGCTAATCAATAAATCATGGTTAATTGCCAATGGTTTTAAGAACATAGTTATGACAAAACAGAAGAACGATGCATCACCTAAGTCCGTCAAGATGTACACCAAGTGATGTCACCTGATACCCAACTTCTATTGCATATCTTGGGTTTTTACATCCTATCCAACCCATTGCCATGATCCCTGGAGCCGCTAATTTCTTTCATTCTATTTAGATTGAATAAGAAAAGGAAATTTCCTGGTTAATTGCATACTAATTCCCATTTAAGGGGGTGGATTCCCATCAACATACGATTGTAGTATGCTATTCAACAGAAACCATCAGAGGGCCAAAAAGGAATATTAAGTCAAAACAGTGCTTAGCCATAGGGTGGATGGGGCATTCCTCGAGTGATAAAACCACAACCAAAAATATTTTGGATAGAGAAAGGTCATATCTTCTCCTTGCAGCTCAAATTATAAATTGTTGAAATTTGAGTTTCAAGTCAATATAGATTTGGTCTTGGAATCAGGGAGGCTGCTTCATTGCCAGTGGTTGGTTGGAGCTTACCACATAGAGATTGTACTCAAAGGCATCTAAGCTTGAGCATAGATTTACCCATTAGGTTCCAATTTCAAGAACTTCCTTTCCAAAAACTACCCATAATTTGAAGTTGTAGCCATGGGAAACTTTTTCGCATATTAATGAAACCCTGGACATTCATGATTAGTGTTCCCAAGCATCTACATTGTGATAGGCATCAAAGGTAAATTCTCAGTCGTATTATGATCAAAGATGAAGATGGTGTAATAAATATAACTTAAGATCATATATCAACAATGTAAAGTAAGCATGTTCTTCTCAAGCAGGAAAATCATTTTAAATGAATATCTTAAATTAAGAAATACTAGACAAGAACTTGTATACTCTCAACTACAAGTCATCACATCAAAATGGAGAGAAACTCTCTGGAAGCTAAAGGTGCCTAACACCAAACCAAGTAGTCGATAGATTTCTGATAACATTCACATGTTCCAATTAATCTTTCTTCCAAAAAGAAACCTAAAGAAAAGCTAAAGAGAGGAATTTTCAGCCAAAGAAAATACAGCACAATCTCTGCCATCCATAGGCCTTAGCCCAAATCGCAGGTAGCTAGATTGAGAGTTTGAGAGGTGGGAAATTAAATTCAAATTGATACCAGGAAAGACCACAAACTCTAAATGAGTAAGACAGTGACACATTGCCCATCAGAACCATAATGACAAGTCTTATCAGAACCATAATGACAAGTCTTACTCAGGACTTCAAGAGTTCCTCGATGAAGTGATTTCCTGATAGATTTCAAAAACACTGGCTTTTCTCAAAAAAATTGAAGAAATTTTACCAATGAAAAGGACAAAACATACCATGCCTAAAAGAAGAAATACTGTAGAAAACAGAAAAATGACAAATTGATTTCCTTATATATTTTCTTTTATAAGACTATACTTTGTTGCACTTTCATAACCTACATTTTCAAGAAAATGCATGAACTCTACAACTGTAGATACTTTCCCAAATGCTCTAAAGTTGGTGACTTGACCTGCCTGAGTCAAGTCTACAGGATCTGGACTTCCAACCCAGTAAAACATGTTCCTGCTCCCTAGACAGCCCTGAACATTCTGGTTTTCATACCATCTTTACAGGCAATCAAGGAAACATTCCTTATCACACTTGGGATACATCGGTGTTACGACTCCACAATGGCAGGGACTATCACCCTTAGAGAAGGCTTGAACAAATTCAGTAAAAACGGGTACTCCGGGAGCCACCTCACTATGGAGGGGGACTCCCTGAATGTTATCCTCGGGCCCTTCAAAAGAGTCCAGTGCCCAGAGAGTAGCCTCTCTTTTGAGCATATAGTTCACCTGCCCAGGCAGCTTTGGGCCACTTTCACACATACTTGGCAGGAAGCCAATCATGTAGCAGATGCCCTGGGCAGGGGCAGCACTGCAGGGGACTTACAAAGGAAAGTTAAATGAAATCACACCGTTTTTTGCTTATAGTCGGGCTGTAATGCTCATTTCGTTTATTTATTGTATCAATGAGCACCACACCCCACCTTTCTTTATGTGGGGGCTGCACAGACCCCATTTTTTGGGACTACATCCTAGGTCATGGAAGGAGCACCTAACCTGCCAGTTGCCTGATCATATATCCATATTAAAAACATACTATACATAATACAAGTCAAATATTCCTCCAAATAAAGAAAAGCAAAAAATTGCATGAGTCAAATTAACTTGCCTGACATGTTCTTTTTATCTTATGGATTTTTAGTTTACTTTTTGAACAATGGATGCAAAACTCACATATGTGCATTAGGGGTCTAAGAGTTCGTATGACCTCTACTCAACCCCCCATAGATTCATGAGATGTGATGTCTATATTGGGCATTAGGCATCACTTTTATAGATGCGTTTAAGGGTTTGTCTAGAAAAATGTATTGGGTATTATGCATCACTTTTATAGATGTGTTTAAGGGTTTGTCTAGAAAAAATTCTCTGGGTTCAAGCATTAAATATTATTTTACATTAAAACTACAGTAACAATATTAGTCTTTTATATAGAATTATTAATAATAAAACAGTCAGCAACTATCATCAGTAATTCGGTAATTTAAATTCTCAATAGGCATTAATTTACGCCATGTTATAGGATGTTTTAAGTTTTCTGGTGAGATAACTAAATTGTTACATGAAAACCGCATAGAATGGTATACTAATTATATGTTAAAACTGCACTAATTCAGTATTCATATTGATTTATTTATGTAGTCTCAGAGTTTTTACAATTCATCTATAAAGACTACAAAGATGTTGACAAAGCTGCAAAGTCAACTCAACAAGTTGTTTATTTGGTTTTTCTTAAACTAAGTCCCAACTTGAGGTTGCTTTTATATTACACCTGCCTGACCCCATCGTACCCACCTATATTTAAACAAATAATAAAATTAAACATAAACAAACGTTGTACTTTTAGTCAGAGTGCTAAGGTATTGGGCATGTGACCAATTAAACAAAAAGATGCACACCTAAAAGTACAAATAACGACATGTCGATGCTAATCATGATACATATAATTTACAAATCAGAATGAATAGCTAAAAACAAAACACATGGGAAAACAAAATGCATCTGCATATATATTTCAATATTCTTGAAACAGAACCAACAAATGCTTCATAAACACAATAGAAACAACAACAACTATAGGCTAGAGATGAAGAAATAATAAAAATTCAACATCGACATCCAAATAGAACATATGAATCTAAGCAAAGAGAAGTAATCCATAGAGAGGGAAAATTAACTAACCTTCCACACCAGAGTGGAAAATTCCAAAGCCAGCCCAATAGAAATACCCATTCATGGGTGTCAAATCATATACATTCAGATAGACTGGAGTGCAACCAGAAGATAGGTCCGAGGACCTCACTTTTGAGAACATACAAAAGCGGGTACAGGATTTTCCTCTTAAACGAATGGGCGTCATCGATTTCCATCCTTTCTTAAGTTCCAACTTCATAATTCCTTTTCGTTTTCACATGTTTCAAAAAGCAGTTAACAGGAAAAATCATTAGCACCTACCACATGGATACCTTTTCATAAAAAATTAAGAGAATTTGACAATTTCTCAAAACAAATGTTTCACAGATAAAGTGAAATTCTCCAAAAATAGCAAAATATTTTCCTTTCTTCTTGTAACTCTAGTCAAAACTTAAACCTACTCTTTGTTCTTGAAAATTGACAAGCTATAGCCATTTTTTTAAAATAAGTTATGCCTCTCCAACTGTGAAAATAAATACCATGTCAAGGCTGGTTTGAGAATCTCTGCTTTGAATATACATACTTCTTCCCAATAAAATCAAAACTTTCAATTGCAAAGTAATCTCACAAATACCGCGCGTGATGATATAGCTGGTAATTAATATAATTGCATCGTAAGAATCATGCACAAAAGAAATATTCACAAATTTCACAATGGAGGCATAAATTAATTTACACTCTAAACCTCCCAAGGCAAGAACAGTACCTTTCTTTTATTCCAACTCGGTCAGGGCAATAATAATATCGACCCACAAAAATTCCCATGTTTATTTCGAAATGAAACTTTTTATAAATATTTAAAATGAGCAACTACTCAAATCATCAGCTCATAACAGTACCTAATATTTACAGAAAAAACACATTTCATGCACATGAAGTGCCCAAAATTGATACGATTGTTAGTTAAAATAACAAAGAATAAAACCCACATAGAAAAATATATTCTCCGAAAACAAAATGATGGGAGGACAATTATAAACCATTTTCAATTATGAAAAGCGGGTATAATACCATCAACATCTTCTAAAAATAACAAATTTATAAAATGAAAATGGAATGAAAAAAATAGAATTCCTGAATTCTAATCAAAGAATTATCATCCACCAATCTGAGAAAACAACCCACATTTCCCCAGAATCCCATCAATTTTTTTTTCCCATAATTTATTTAACCTATGCACACCAAAATATACAAAGAAAGAGAGAGTGAGAGAGATTACATTTTCTATTAAAAATGAAGGGAAGAAACCCAACACAAGAAATCAACTATCTCCATTACTGAAAGGGAGAAAACAGAAGAATGTACATAATAATGTAGAGAGAGAAAGAAAGACATCGACAAGATAAACCCACAACCTAAACAATAGATCTCATAGCCATGAAAGCAAATAAAACAAAGCAACAACAGAGAGAGATACCGAAAAAATCGAGTTCAAGAGTCTAAAATCACTGAATAAACCCCTAAAAGAAGCAGAAGAAGACCGAGAAAAAATACCTCAAATGAAGAGCGAGAGAAAGAGTCTCCTAAATCATTAATGGGACCAAAAGACAGAGAAACACACACACAGAGTAAGAGAGAGAGAGAGAGCTACCTGATTGGAGAAAACCGCTAAAGCGGGAGGAAGAAGACCGCTAGCGGTTTTAGGGAAAACCGACCGGGTTTTGATGGGGTTGGAGCCATCGCCTCCCCCATGAAACCATCTCCTCCTTCCTCCTCCCTCTCTCTGTGTAACCATCTCCTTGCTCTGTGGCGCCCTCTTTAAAGCTTTTTGGCCTCTTGCATTTTAATTTCGCAATATGACTATCTTGGCCCTAAATGCTCTAACAAATTCTATCCAATGGCCTCACAGTCGCAGAATCACAGTTATGAAGACCGCATTGAATTGGTTGGTCCGACGGATTATACTATGGATACGTGCCTTGACCAGCCTCCCCAACATAAAAGTGAGGTTTCGTTAATGTACGCGGTGAATATCTTCAAAATCCTCAACGATTTTTAACACTTAGATACTTCTATTTTTTAACGTAATAACTTTTGTTTAAGGGTATTTTAAGTAATTAATTAAAAGTACAATATAAACTTTTAATAAAAACAAAAATATTTATTAACAAGAGTAAACAAAACAATGACATCATCGTACAAAACATCACCCACAAAATACATTAATTGTTTTTAATTATTTATTATTTTTTTATAAAAATATCTATTATACTTTTTAAAATGACTAAAAATATCCTCACTTGAAAATTTTATATTATAATTCAAGTGGTAGAGCTTAATAATCCGATATGAAATCTGATAGCTTGGGTGTGTCACAAAGTTCAATAAACTTTCTTATGAACTTAAAAGTTCACATCTAATAATCAAGAGAAGTTCGATCTAATGATCAAGATTAATTATGACCACCTTGTAAAAATAAATAGTCTCATTATATACTTCTCTATAAAAATTGAGTTTGGTATAAAAGCAATCAAAATTATTGTTTGCCCGGGCTTTAGTCGGTTAGATTAACCAATTTTAACTTGTTTAACCAACTAAATGAAGTTGGATAAAATTTTAATATATTTTATATTTTAATTTAATGAATTTGATTTTTATTATCTCTGAAATACAATCCAACAAGTGATGTTTCTATAAGGCTTAGGCTTTATGAAAACAAAGTAAGGCGATACCTAAATCCTTATCTAGAAAGTACTTATGGAAATGAAAATCTCTATGATGGCTTTAAATTCAATTTCCAACTCCGATAATAAATTTCGAAACTAAAAAAATGATACAAATTTACAATATCTGTGAACATTTATTTTTAAAGCAAAATTGATAGTCAATATGATTTGTTACAATATATGCTCTTTTTTTAGCTTGAAATCTTTTTTTTTTTTTTACAACCTGATGTTCAAGTGGAGATAATTCATGTAAAGATTTTACGATGCTTAACTTGATGAGTTATGAGGTGACGATTTACTTATTTTTATGGATCTGCAGTCCTATTAAATTTAGATGGGACAAAATTTTGTTTTGACGGGAAAAACTTTGGGCGCCAAGGGTAGAAACGATAATTCGCCCTTGAGGCCAAATTTCGCCGGGAAATAAGCGAAAACTGGAAAAATAAGCGGGACTGGCGAAAAGTACCGAGTTTCATTGCCCAGGACGAAATCTTGACATTTAAGCGAATTATGAAATTTCGGCTAAATCTTGAAACTTGGCCTCCCGGTCATGTGCCGTCAGGTGGCGGCATATTTCACTTTCCAGTTCCACCAAAGGGTTTGGAAAACGAAATTTCGATAAATTTCGGCCCTTTAGGTACGGACCAAAACTGTCTATTCGAACTAGGCGAGATTTGTATGTTTATACTTTATTTAAAAATGAAATTTATGAGAAAAAAAGTAAATAGAGAGACCATTTATTTTAGGTTTATGGAGACTTAACGGATGGTATAGCCATTTAGTAAAGCAGAACGACAGATTATGATCGGTAGAGTCGATCTCGATTAGTTGAAAAAAAAAAATTTGGTGATGAATAGGTACTCTTATCCGTCAAAATTTAAATCGAGTGGTTGTAAATATATCATCAATTAGACTTTAAATTCAAAAAAAAATCACAAACTTCTTGACACACCCCAATCATCCAATACCAATTTAGTAAGGGAGAGTATAAAATAAAAATAATTATTTTCGATATAATGAGGTTACAATCATTATTGTCTATTGAATGTTAAACCAAGCGGTTGGGAGTCAACCATTTATCAAAATTCAAAATAAATTTTTTTGATATTCGAGATATACCCCAATCCACTAAATTTCACATTGATACGTAGGTTTGATTGTAACTTTATACCATTGTTAAATATTCTCAATTTATACAATCCCATGTCTTTGCACTAGATGGTCATCTTAGCATTGAGCTAGAGCTTGGATTGAGTGTCGATTTGGATGTGTAACAGTGTTACATCCCAAATTTGATTCCTACCACGAAAGTACCTAAATAAATAAAAACAAAAAAAATAAATCATCTTATACTATAAAAGTAAGATGCCGCTCAAACCCCTTATAAGAAGTTGCAAGAGAACATTTTCCACTCGACCATCGCATCACGACTTCCGAATATAAATAAAGATTTCAAGTCTTGAAAGTTAAAAACAGTGTATCTTATAAGCATTATCTAGACTATCCATTTTAAAAACTTTGAACTGTTCACATATCTATACTATATTTGAGTTTTAGCTTTTATAATTAGGGATGAGAATAGATTCTCATGCCATTATTGAAATACACCAAAAGTTGAATTATTGAACATTTTATTTTTTATAATTAGGTAAAGCTTAAAGTTCATTTATTTTTTACTTTCGATAGAAATATAGATAAAATGTTAATATTTCAAATCTTAAGACGGGTTCTGCAATATTTCAATATTTGAAAACCAAAAAAAAGAATTTTTGTAAGGTGCATTTGTGTCGAACATTTGTTCCAGCTTTTTCTCCCGAGTGTCCCGTGCCTTGACGGTACCTTTCTTTCCCGATAGGGAAGGGCGAGAAAGCTCCTGACTTTCATCTAAATGGCCAAAACCTCCTTGCATTCCCTAGCAAAAGAAGTACAATAATTTTTAGGGAAAATTATGTCCATAATGTTTTATTTTACCGTTATTATCTCATGGTAAAAAAATATGCGGTATTTATAGAGAGGTTTTTGTCCCCCATTTTTTCATTTCTTGAAGTTTGCCCCAGTCCCATATCAGAAACATCTGACCGCCTCAAACTTTTAAAAATTAAAATATAAATATGGTATGATGTTAGAAACATCATATCGCTTTAGACCTTCAAAAAAATGAATTCTAAATATTGTTAGATGTTATAAATATCGGACAGTTTAAATCTTCAAAAAATGAAGTCTACACGTAGTTTGATTTTAAAAACAACTGATTGGGGGTAAATTTGTCAAAAAAATAATAAATTCGAGGCCCATCCTTCCTAATAATAACGTCCTATTTTGAGGCCTTTTTTTGCTATAACGGTTTTAAAAACCGGTACGAATGTAAATTTTCCTAATTTTTATTTTAAGTATAAAAAAATTAAAAGGTGTGGTTTCTATAAAGTTGCAATCTTAAACAATCCAATTTAGGCACACCGCCAAAGTAAAATGACGGAACAAGATTCATGTAACCGACTCCAAATAATTGAAATAAAGCTTGAATGTTGATCATTAAACTTACCGGCTCATAAAATATCTGTCCTATCTATTTAGTCCAAAAAAATAAAAAGCTATTCTCCAAGTCATTCAAAGAAATCCCAAGGGTATCTCTCCATAACTTTAAAGTAAAAAGTTATTTTTCCAAGTCATTCAAAGAAATCCCAAGGGTATTTCTCCATAACTTTGAATTACCTTCGCTGGTCCCAAGTTCCAACATAGGCGGGGCAGAGTCTCTTTTTAACACATTTTTTTGGCTTAATTTTGAGACGAGGATACTATAGAGGGGCAGTTTTGGAATTGATGAAATTCCTCGTACAAAAGCGACAAGTCGCAAAAATGAGGCACCATATGCTTCCCTTGAAAATGACGGGTGTGCCCCGCTCGTTGTGTCGTTTGTGCGAATCCCATCCGGAGCCTCTCAGCCGTCCATTGAAGAGAGAGTGCTAACTGGTAACAGCAGTACAACTAGATATGGGTGTCTCTGTATCTAAAGTTAAAAATAAATCAAAATTGATTAAAATCAATGCTTGGTCGATTGAATCAATTGGACTGCAAACTGGGTATTTTTAACTAGTTAAATGAACTAAAACAAATTTAAACAAATTATTTTTTATGCGGTTTGTATAGAGCCGGGCTCTAAACAATCAAAGTATAGCGTACCTTTAAATAGTATCGAGAAATGTGGTTTCAATATTGAAAAATCTTTGTGATAGTCTTAAAATATATTTTAATATTTAATTATAAAATTTAAAGCTTCAAAAATAGTGTAGATAGAACAGATTTATGAAAACTTGATAATCTTGAAAATTGATTGTAAAAAAAGACGTTACAAGATGCACTATTTTCAAAACTTGAAATCCATTTTTTTTCTCGTGTCCATGCATCTTGATGTCGAGATGATTAATTTGACGATATTTGAGCATCGAAACAACCTTTTCTAGATACATTTTTGAGGTGGGCTCTAATTTGTTTGTTTAGAGCCTCACCTCTATATAAATTTTTTTCAGTTCTTTATTTTTTAACAGTATTCTAAATTATTTATATTAATGTTCACCATAATAGATATTCTTGAGGGATTGTCTACAAATAGACTATTTATCTTTTGTACATAAATGTCACAATTATTCTCGATCATTAGATGTCAAATTGGATTGCTTGGGGTGAGTACGAAGTCCGAGAATTTTTTATTTTTTTAACCTTGTGTCTATTTAGTAACACTCTTACAACTACCCATTTTGAAATTTAAGGGACAAGAATGATTGTGACCTCTATGTACATATGATAAAATGGTCTTTTTGTAAACAATTTCAATTCTTAATCCCTAAATTCTTAGATCCAATATCCATCTCTAAGATGACTTCTGAATCAAGGATTTATCTAAATAGACAAGTCAGGTAATTCATGTGTAATATTTATATATCGAGATTAGCCCACTAGCTCATATGAGTCAAATGGCTTAGATTAATTATGGGTCGATCTGACAGTCGTTGCTTTATTTCGTATTTGAAATTTAAAGTTTTTTCTACAAATCCAAATAACTTGAAAATTTAAGCGTGTATTCTTTAAAATTTGAAGAATCTA